TGACCATACATTACCTGGATCTCCATGGCCACCATTTAGTTAAATGCAAACAGATGACATACAACATGGGAATGTGTGATGTATAAGGTAATCTGGTGGTCATATGCCCAGCTAAAAATAGTTTTCTTGCTAAGGAAGAAAGGGAGAATAAATGTTGGCCATGCCATGGTTATCCTTTTGGCTATACAAATGAGTACCTTTTTGTTGCCCCTTTTTCCCCCACCAAAGGATTGCTTGGATGTTCTAACTATGCAGCAGTTGACTGCCAACAGAGTTAATGATCCAAGAAAGATCAAGAACATACATCACTCCTTCACTAACGGAGATGACTTCAAAATGTTTCTGAGTTTCTGGTTGTGTAAATTAGATGGATAAGTATTTGAAACTGTTCCTAAGCAGAGCAATCTGGCCTCTGCCTACTCTCTAACAGCATCTCTAACCAACACCCAACTTGGTCAAACTTCCTGCAGTTCCCTAAATGTATCATATTCTCATACCTCTGGGCTTTGCAAATACTAGTTCTTTGCCTACAACAACACTTTTCTTCCCTTGTTCCTATTCATCCTTGGAACATGTTTTGGCCATTGTCTTAGGAAGCCATTCCTGACTACCTGCCTTAGCCAGCTTGGGCTGATATAGCAAATACCATAGACTGAGTGGCTTGAAGAATAAATATTTAATTCTCACAGCTCTAAGGTTGGGAAGTTCAAGATCAAGGTGCCTGCACGTCCTGGGTTGGGTTAGGGCCTGCTTCCTGGTTTAGAGATTGCTATCTTCTCATATCCTTGCATGGGAGAGAGCAGAGAGATGTATGTTATGAGTCTCTTTCTATAAGGGTTCTAATATTGTTTATGAGGGCTCCACCCTCATGCCTTACCTTCTCAAAACCCCACCTCCTAATATCAGCACACTGGGGGTTAGGATTTCAACATATGAATTTTAGAGGGACACAAACATTTAGTCCATAACACCCTCCAAGGCTGAGACTGGGGCATTCCTTTGTGCTACCTAAGGCACAATTCCTACCGCCCTGCTGCAATTTTGCATTATAATGGTCCATTTCCTTGTCTTCCCAGTTGTAGCCACTTCAGTCAGAATTGTCTTGTTCATAGCTGTGTCTCTAGTATCTAACACATTAAATGATATGGAGTTGTCTGATGACTAGTAATAATAATAAGCATTGCCTGTTACAGGGACCCTTGCTGGCTCTTTTCAGAACTTACTAATAATGGTATGGAAAACATGAAACAAGTTTATAAATTTTGTAGATGTAGATGCTATAAAGTAGGGAGGATGATAGAATGAAAATTGAAGAATTCAAAGATTCAAAAAGATTTCAACAGGCTGTATGAACAGGGTGAAACAAACAAGGTAAAGTCCTAGAGAGAAATTTAAAGTTCTACATTTAGGTTTATGTTGTGTAGTAGTTCTCGAAGTGTGGTCCCAATTGATTTTGGGGAACTGTAATATAATTAAAAATAACATGTCTTATCAACCTAAAAAAATCTCCACAAAGATAGATGAGAAAGAAAACAATTTTATTATGGAATAAACATTAAACCAGGATGCGAGGCAGGCAGCACAGGAAAAGCACTAGAGAGATAGCAAAGACAAAGAGAAACTGTACCTATATAGCAAAGCAGATGAAACCCATTAATTATATCCATGTTCTCAAGATAAATAATTCTCAAAGACTAATTGCCTTTATACAAAAGAAAAATAAATTTCTCATATCTTTATGACAAAAGATAGCTTTGCAACTTGGAGCCAGATACCTGCTGAAGTTAGTTAGGCTTTTGTGCTCCCGGAGCGGGAGATAGGGGTGCTATTTTCCTGGATGATTACATTTCAAAGACGCTCCAGGTCCCATTTCAATGAGAAATGCCTGAATTGTAAAATAGGCAAGAGGCTTATTTTGGCTTTAAAAAGAGTTACATACATTTCAGAGGCAGGGAAAGACTAATGACAAGTTTTCTAAAATAAATGTTCTTTGCACCAGTGAGAATTAAATATTTTTCTTATTTCTAATTTGTTTTACCCTTCACCAACAGCATCAGCATTACCTGGGAACTTTAGTTAGAAATGCAAACTCTCAGATCCTAACCCAGAAAGTCTGGGGATAGGGGGTGGCAGTCTTTCTTTTTTTAAGTAAGTCCCTCTGCTGGTGCTGATGCTGATGCTCCTTAAAGCTGAAGAATCATTGTAGAGCACTGTTGACAGCAGGCCGTTTAAACAGACCTAGGGAAAATGATTTTATTTTACTTGAATTAATAGTTACCTGTAGTTTGAATTACATAGGTAGTTACCAGCTCTGCTAGCATAGTACCTTCAATTGGCAAAAAATTAAGATGTCCAAAATAAAGATATTACATGAATATTAGTTTAACTAAGGCAGTCAAATCTTAACAATTTGCATCACTGAAGGAAATAAAAACAAACGTAACAAATTATGCTTATTTGGCTCTAGAGTGAATGCATTCCCTAATTTTAAATATATGAAGTTGACTGCTTTTCTAGCAAATCACAAAATGCCCAAATCAAGTAAAACCAAACAAGCCAAACTCAAGAGGAACTAAACAACTGTGCAATTTTTTTTCACATGTACCCCTTCTTAAGTTCACCTGACTCTTTATTGGGACTAATCTGTCTTTTGTCAGTGCCCATCAAGTTTTGGATTCAAAATGGAATCACTTGAGGATAAAAAGATACTCAGGGGAGACTCAGAGAGCAGCAGGTGAGGGAGGAACAGTGGATTCTTTTTGTGTATCAGTTCACACAAGCAGTCCTGCTCCCCTTTCTCAGCATGGGTCAGACCTGCCATAGACCTCAAATACAAGAACTTCAGAGACTCAAATGAAATTATAGGTGCCAATGTGGAGATAGATTATTTGGGGCAGTTGGGAATGTTGCCATTTAAGGAGTCTGCTTTTTAAAAAAAAAATTGTTTTTTTATTGTTGTTCAGTTATAGTTGTCCCACCTTTTCCCCTCTTGCTCACCTCTACCCCGTACCCCCATTCCCCACAGTCTGCTTTGAGAAAAGGTTTTTTTTTTTTTTTTTTAAGAAATACTATTGCAGACAGGGAAAGGCTTGTCTTTTTTTTTTAAGATTTTATTTATTTATTTTTACAGAGGAAAGGGAGGGAGATAGAGAGAAACATCAATGTGCGGTTGCTGGGGGTTATGGCCTGCAACCCAGGCATGTACCCTGGCTGGGAATCGAACCTGTGACACTTTGGTTCGCATCCCGAGCTCAATCCACTGAGCTACGCCAGCCAGGGCAAGAAAAGTTTTTGTACTTCTTATTTTATGCACTACACTACAGAAAGCTTGAATAAACTGGTTTCTGTGGCTATTGAGACAAACACTATTCATAATGCCAAGACTTCTTGAGAAGTCCACCTAAAGCAAGGCTGGTGGCATGATTTCTTAGGACTTCTGGATATTCCTGTGACAAACTCTCCCTCATGTGTCTACATCTGTCCACTGGTCTCATCATGGATTTACTGCAGTTTAGCCAGAAGAACCTGGTCATGCAAATGGAGAACCTGCAATTGAAAAGCAAATATGAGGAGCTCTACCTACAATACCTGGATGGATTTTTAGGAACTGGACCCCAGGTGATGGAGGAAGCTCAGAAACAGGAGCTTGCCGAAGCTGAAATCTAGATCTGAAAAAAAAAGATCAACTTACTACAAACATGAATTCCATGAATACATCTTTCTTTGACCTTTTCAGGAAAAAAAGATGATTAAAGGCTATCCCAAGAAGGAAGAATTGCTCAAGTGTATTGATTACATACTGTGAATTCAAATGAAAGGCCAAATATACCAAGTATTACAGACCCACACTGAAGACAAACTCAACCTAGCAGATGAAGAAATTTCCTAAGTCCATAGGAAAGATGGCCATCAAGGTGATCCTAACAAAGCAGATGAGGATCTATTCCCTCGACACCATTCAGCAGAAGGCTGAAGACAACGGACTGACCATAATCTGTTATGACCTGACTGCAGACATGGAAAAATCTGATGTGAAAGTCACTGACCAGAGACTCTCTCTCCTGGCTCCTTTCTGTTTGTAAACAAGCCTTATGTACTAAGTGATCCTCAACAAGAAGAAATAGCTACAGAAAATTAAGAGATATTTTAACTTCCGAGTTACATTTTTAATGCTATTTGACTCATTAAATGTTGATGTTGATGTTTCATTAGAAAGTTTTTAAAGATTTTATTTATTTTTAGAGAGAGGGGAAGGAAGAGAGGGAGAGAAACATCAGTATAAGAAACATTGATTGGTTGCCTCTCATAAGTGTCCTAAACCGGGAGCCTGTCCTGTAGCCCAGGCATGTGCCCTGACAGGGGATGGTACCAGTAACCTTTTGGTTTGCAGGCTGGTACCCAATCCACTAAGCCACACCAGCCAGGGCAGAAAGTTTTTGTATCTTATCAAATATTTGCTCTGGTGAAGTTGATTGAAAAAAAATTGGTGTTATATCCTGTAAATTTTTTTTACTATGAGAAAAACACTGCTTTGACATTATTAGCAAATAGGCCCAAGATTCAGTTTATTTTGTTAGTACACATGGACTACAAAAGTGTGGTATATAAAAGGTCACATAGAGGGGCCCAGTCTGCTTATGAGTTATTATAATGCTAATCAGCAATGTTAAAATAATTGCTATAACCTGTCATTAGTCACATCTTGCAAAAATATAGGGGTTTCTCCTATGGTCCTCAGGTATATAAACTGTCCATGAAGGAGGCAGTGATGAGTTTTTCTGAATATGAAGATGTCTAACCAAGAATTCAAGAGGACATTTCAGTGGGACTATATTGACTACCAGAACAACAAAATCCATGGTATTTTAAGGAAAGGCAGTTATGGATTTCCCTCCTTGGAGGGTTTAAAGAAAACCTTTGTTTAATAGAAGGGCTCAGATTCTCCTATTTCCCCCTCCCTTCTTTGTTCCCATAAAAGAATCACAGATTTTTGAAACACATTTTAATGATCAAGTAATACCTTTAATTACAGAAGAAAAATTGAGGCCAAAAATGCAAAGCAGTTAAAAAATTGAGGGAGCCAGGTCATTTAATAAGAAGGAATACAGCCAAGTGGATATAGTTCAAAGAACACATCCCCATTTTTTTGCCAGTAGGTACATGCATTTTTAAAAGCATTTTTGCCCTATTCAGCCAGAAACATAAAAATTGTTCAAGTGTTTTCTGTCTCCTTTGCAAGCTGCGTGTGTTCAATTTATGCGGCGAAAAGTAAAAATGGTCACTTAAAAAAGAATCATATATGCTATTCTTTACACACAAAAGTATTATTTTATCAAACATCAGAATATGCATTTATAGGTTTTCGAAAACCTATAAATGCATAGGTTTGCTGAGGACATATATTTTGTTTTATTTTTGTTTCTCCGGTAACACCAAGTACAGCACTAGGCATATATATGGTAACATAAAATAAATATCTATTCAAATTTTAAAAGTAAATACTTTTTTTCCATGTAGTGCCCAGTGCCTGGACTTCTCTGACTAAAAGCCACTATCTTTGAGACTCTTGTGTTTTTAGAACAGAAATGAAGTGGAAAATTGGTTCTTGGGGGAGAAATGTCAAAATTTGGCTGCCAGGAACACTAACCATGGAAGTTGTGTCGGAGGGAGCGATCCACAGCAATGTCCACGGGCATTGCGGCAAACTCAGGCACTTCCCAGGTTGATCCTGATTTTCAAAGGCGGTCAGCAACAGCCTTCAGAGTTACCAGGTGGCAGGGGCATGATCCTGGGTGGCTCGTTCAATTTCTATCAGGTTCCCTCCTGGCCAGTGGCTGCGTTGCTGGGCAGAGTGAAAAGGTAGCAGAGGTGGTAAGAACAGACGGCCCCAAGCTTTCTAGCAAGGCTTGGAGCCCAGAAGCTGGGAACTGGACGAGTTCTTTGCGAATGAAGCCAAGCAGTGCCGAGGTTGTGAGGAGCGCAGAGGCTCTCGGCCGTCACTCCTCCCGACACCAGGGGTCCAGGCCTGGCGGTTTTCTACCCATTCCTGCCAAAGGCTCGCTCCAGCGCGCCTACGAAGCTCTCGTAATGAGCTAGGATGCGGCTCTCCCTCTCGATGTAGGGCACTACCCACTCCTCTGCCGCCCCAGAGAGGCGGCTGATTAAAAATGCCACCTTTAGGGTGTCGTTGGGAAATCTGGCCTCGAAGAACCTCATGTACGAGGCCGCTTGGACCAAAAACTCGGGAAGCCGGGCGGAGTCGCCTTTAAACGTTTCGGGAAAAGTCACGGGGCAAGCCGGCGGCCGCACCTGGGCTAGCAGGTTGGCTTTCTCGCAAAGCAGTCGCTGCACCTGGTCCATGAGCTCCTCGTTCTCCTTGCGTAGGGCATGGTTCTGGGTCAGGAGGTCCTGCATCACGACCGCCAGCATGTCCATCACCGCCTGCGGCGCACCGGCTCCCCTCGAGGCTGCGACCTGCCGAGCAGACGACGGAAGTGCCTGTCCCAATCCGGGCGGCCGGAGGCGGCGCAGCGGTCGGGTCTCTGCGCACCAGGCTGGGCCTAAGTCCTACTGCAGGGGCTAGGGTCCCCGGAATATTGGCCGGAGAAGCAACAGCCAGAAAGCCTGAAGCTAGCAGGAGGGAGAGGAGGAAATATGGGATGGACACGCGCGAGGCCGCAGGACCACCAAGCACCATCACCGGCGGAGGAATCTGACTTCAGGGCCGAGCTCATTGACTTCCGGCGGGTCCCCTCAGCAGGGCTGGCTCTCAGGTGCTTAAAGAGAAAGCAGCCGGTTGGCAGCTTCGCTTTCTTGCGAGGCTGTGGTTAACTCTTGCCGGTCTCCAAGGTTCCGTGCAGTCCTTCTGTTTGTGTTTCATGTTGTCTGTTCACGTGTTGTGTCTAAGGCTCACACCTACGAGGAGGCAGCTCTAATGAAGCCCTCCTTGCTTCCTCAAATGACTATGCTGTGTGGCTTCCAACCTGACAATTTGCTAGACGCCTTACATAATCATCCACACTGAGCCCATATTTTTGTTTGTTGGTTAGTTGTCTTCCTGGGGACAAAAGTCAGCTCAGAAAGTATATAAATTTACCTGAGCTACAAAGTCAGTGGAATAGTGGGAGAATGCTTCATGAGTGCTAGGTCTTTGAAGATGAACTTAAACTTCAGGTGGTGGGCTGAGTCTGGAGCTATGAAAGCCCCAAGTCTACGCTAATGTTAGTGCCGTTTATGTCATCTGGTTCAATACAGGTGCTGGCTGAGAGCCACGGCTTCTCTGTTGTAATAAGGCTCTGCTCCAACCTCCTTCCTAGCTAACCAGCCTCTTACTTTTTCCATCAGTGTGATATCCTAGTTAAAGAAGACGTCAACTTTGTGTGTGTGTGGCTGCAACCAGCTGCATGTTGCATTACTGAATGGGCAAACTCTAGCAAGAATCATTGTCATGCTCTGGGACTGCAGGTTTTTCTGCCACTGTCTCTAAGGTTGAAGCGCTCTAGTATTGAACACTGGACACCTCCCACGCAAGAACCACCAGAAGTGAATCTGTAGGTAGCAAAGTTTAGGATGGGGATATTGCTATGTACTTCAGGGACTAAGAAACTCAAATAACATATATTGATGAGTAGTAATATTTAAAGAATATAATTGTTGACTTTTTAGAGATGAAAGCTAATACCTTATGCCAGAAGCTTTCATTTGTCTTTTACAGGGGTATGGTGGTTTTTGATTGTGGCTTTTAATGGATTTATTTGGTATTTTACTGTTGGAGACTGCTTTTATTAATAATACCTTTCCTAATGAAACTGTAGGTCATAAATTGTGTTAACACACTTTCAAAAGCAAAATACAAAACTTTGATATCAGTTATTTAAAATATATGTACCGTACTTCAAGAAAGAAAAAGTCATATAACAAAAAAGTAGTTATGGAATTTCTCTGGAGCTACAGATAGTATGAAAATCTCATTTAAAGTTTCAGAGCCAAAATGAACTCTTACTTTGTCTTAATATGCAATATAAAATGTATTAATCCAAATATAAGATGGGGAAATCATGCTCAGAATTCTCAGAATGTGCCTCCCATTAACTTGTGGTAGCCATATATATTTGTTTGCACATATGTATTACAAAATACATTTTAAAATTGTCAGAATGTGATAGATGCTCAATAAATATATAATAAAATAAACACTTCTGAATCTATGACCCAGATTAAGACCTAGAGTGTTGAACGGAATATCCTTTTCCCATCTTCCTTAATTTAGCAAGTAGCCTGAAAAAAATATAGTTTTATATCTGTCTATACCTGTATATCTGTTTGCTTAACATCACTTATTTGCATTTTATACTATCAGACTGCTTTAGATTTCTGCACTTTGCTCCACTAATTCAAAATTATGTTTCTAAAATTTCTTCAAGCTGTGTCATTTATTCAGCCTCTCTTCATTTCTTTTCATTCATAATATGCCACTGTGTTAATATACCATAGTTTGTGCCCATTTTCCTGATAATGGACATTTGAATTATGAGCATCTATCACATTCTGACAATTTTAGATTATCTCCAGATGTTTGCTATTGCAAATGATTATATGTTTGTTCTTACACATGTCTGTTGGTTCACATGTTAAGAATTACTTTAGGGGTTATATTTAAGAGTGGAATAGATGGCATGTGAATGCTAAACTTTACAAGATAATGCTACATTGTTTTCTAAAACGGTTTATCAATTTATATTTTCACCTGCACGTGGTATTGTCAGACTTTTTAGATTTGCTAATCTAGTAGGAATAAAATTATATTTAATTGGTTCTTTTAATTTATATTTTCTTGATTACTAGTGTGTTTGAGAATTTTTTTTACATATTTTTTGACCATGTAGGTTTCTTATTCTGTGCCATGCTTGTTCATATATTTTACCCATTTCCAAGGGTAATGGGTAAATGGGTAATGGGTCATGTTTTAAAAATCCTCACCTGAAAATATGTTTTTTTTTTATTTTAGAGAGAGAAGAAGGGAGCAAGGAAGAGAAACATTGATATAAGAGAGGAACATCAGTCAGCTTCCTCCTTTACACACCCTGACTGGGGATTGAACCTGCAACATTTTGGTGTACAGGATGATTCTCCAACCAACTTAGCCACCTGGTCAGGGCTAGAAGGTCATTTTATTGTCTCACTCTGTGCAAGTTATTTGTATACTCTGGATCTGAACTTTTTGTTGGTTATATGAATATATGTTACGCAAGGTTGCAGTTTTGCCTTCTTATTTTCCTTAATTCATTGTACAAACATATTTAATAAATGCCGCATAAGTACAGAAAACACATAGCCTATAGCTCATCCTTTCAAACCAGAAGAGCCAAGTAAAAAGTCAGTACAGATATTTATTTTTACTTAAAAAACAATCTAGGGTACACATTGGGAATTAAACTAGGTTTTCTTTTTTTAGAGGTGTGACATCCATGTTTCCTGGTCACTAATATTCTGTTCAACATTGTGTAACAGGGTGCAGCTGGGGGGGTGGTGCAAATAGGGATTTGAAATGGGGCCCAGAACTCAAGGTGTTCAGGAAATATTAGGATGTCCTCACCAACACCCCCCCCCCCCCACACACACACACACACAGGTGTGGGTTGGGGAAGGGACACAGGGAGCAGGGCCATTGAGAGCTGTTTTGCATAGCAACATCTTTGCAGATAACCTCTGGTGTGGTCATTTAACATATCTATAACTTTTAACTGGTTACATGGATATGTTAAATAGCTGTGGCCATGATCGAAGCCAGGGGAATGGAAGTAACTTCCCCACCAAGACATAACTGGGGGGCAGGTCCCTGGAGTTACAGCCCCTTCATGGGAGCTTGGAGAAGATTGGCTCCATGATGTGGCACCATGCCTGCCCAGACTAATGATGGCAGCCCAGTAAAGCTGGAAGGATATGAGAGTGCTGGCAAATGTAGCCAATTGTGGGAGGAGTCAGAAATGGGGCTGCACAGGAAGATTGGTGCAGGGATTTAAACAGAGAGACTCGGCTGCCATTGGAGAGGATCACACAGCTTTGCCAGAGTGGGGACTCCTGCAGCCATTGTGCAGAGAGGACCACTTGGCTATGGCAATAGAAAGGAGACCCATGCGGCTGTGGCAATAGAAAGGAGAGAGCCACCCACTTCTGGCAGAGGGAGGACCTCAGCAGGCATTGAGGAGGAAGAACCATGCGACTTTCCCAGAGTGGGGACTCCCATGGCCATTGTGCAGAGAGGACCATGCAGCTGTGGCAGTGAAGGACTCTCCATGAGGCTTTGCCAGAGTAGGGACCCCTGCAGCTTTAGAAGGGGGAACCACCACCCAGTCTTAGCAGAGATCCCGGAGACACAGCTGATGGTGCTGGGAATTGAGGGAGATCTACCAGCTGAGCACAGATTACTAGGAAACGCTGGGGGCTGCCTGAGCCATGGACTTCTATTTCCTTTCCTGAGATATGGTACCCCAGACTGGGCAAAGCGGGGAAGGAAGGACTGTGTGTGTTTGTGGGTGTTTTAAGGGACTTTGGGATTTTGATGAAGACATTAGGTCACTACTTTAAGTCTGTACAGCATTAAATAAACATTTCCTTTCCTTTTCACAAATCTCTGGCATTGAGAGATGTCTTATCTATAAGGCGGCGGACATAATGAACCTGGGGGGTTCCTTTCAGTAATAGTATATTGCCTTTGCCCCACCTCCTTGTGTTCTGTAGCAATTGTACTAAGCCAATGTACTAAGTCAAAACAGACAGATAAGAAGTAAAGCTGTTTGCTATCTCTTATTCCTGCTGAGCTAGATCAGTAGAACAGTCTTGGTAGGAAGATTTTGACAGAAAGAAGGAATTGTAGACTCTCTACCCCAACAGAAAACCCAATGAACTAATTTATGCAGAAAAAGTTTAAGCAAACTTGCACAAATACTTAGCATGCTATAAGAAAAGGAGAGAAGGATACCTTTAGTTTACTGCCAGCATAAGCACACATTTATTGGTGCCCAGGAAAATAGGTGGGTAGAAAGCATTTTCGCTTTCACAGAACTAACAACTGAAAAGCACATAGCATTTAACACTTTAATCTTGAAGTGGGTAATTGTGGAAGTTCTGAGATTATATCCATTAGATTAGTCTGAGTATTCATCTATCAACATAAAAATATATTTTTCAAAATGCTTAAAAGGGAGTTCTAGAAACAGTAGGGCTGCATCAGGACCAGCAGAAGACACACTGATAGAGGGACTGCACATGTAAGACTAGGAATTGACTTTCACATGTACCTTTCAGGTAAAAGGCATCCCTTTCAGTTGATTCCTACAGCTGAGACTCACAGTGAAAACAGAAGCCCCAGAAATTTCAAGACAGGCAGCTGGCTTAAGTAACATCCTAGATAACTGCTCCCAAACAGGAAAAACCCTACTGAAGCTGAAGGACTGAAACTTTCGTGCTGATAGAACAACCTGTAGACTGGGGAAGGCCCCCTGGTGGAATGCTGGGTGTGGACTTGCTCCACAGGAGCCCGACACAAGTGCCTGAGAGAGATGTCTGATTGGGAAAAGCACCAGGGTTACTGAACGCAAGGCTTTTCTAAAGAAATAAGTCCCAGGACGGTCAGGGAATTTTTTTTCTGATCCATTAATACTTGACATTAATGAAAAGTTGCAGAACAGAGCTGGTCTCTCCAAGATCTATTTTTCTGTCATTAGCTGAAGCCTCTCCCAGTAAATTGTGCTGCTGAGGTCCAGAC